AAAAAAAAAACTAATTCGTGTAATTTGATAAAACGTTGAACCTCGATAAGACAATATAATATTGTGGGCAAGTGAAATACAAATTGTGAAATTATTATTTCTGATATAATGACCATGGCAAAACGTTTTCAATTGAAAGAATAAAAACGATGGAACTTTGACCTCATGATATATATGTATATATATATTAAGATTGACAGAGAGGCCCACTCTGGATCTAAATAACCCTTCATCCCATCCTTGTTTGCCAAGTGACGTAACACAACAAATTGGAAAAAGGTGAGTTCAAAGCAATTGACTGTGTTACTGTTGGTGATGTCTTAATCACAAAACATATCTGTGCAGACTCACTTTTTGAGCTTCCTCCACGATACAAGTTGTCACAATTCCGGCCAACGCACACTCTTCAGTCGTCGATTGAGCTGAATTGTAGTCACACAAAACAAATATACATATTAAAACTATTACCGGAGAATAAATAATACCTAGTGCATTAGTACTTAATGTCCTAATGGTATACGACCATTTATAGTGAACAAGGTTAAGATGTTTATGATTTTTATACACATTAATATTGTTCTTTTAGTAATACACATTGTAAACCAAATGGATAATATGTAGAAACAGTTGTTTTTAATTGTATTATTTGAATACTACGTTTCGTTTTTATCTTTAAAATGCATTTTCATTTGGTTTTTAAGAAATTTTTTGCAAGCCTTTTTTGTAAATTGTAAATAATATGTGGGTCATTTTTCTTAAAGTTTAGATTTCGAAGAATCTTTTAAAAAATCATATATTTACATTATTTTATTCACCATGATTATTTTGACGTTATCTTCAACTCAACTCAATACAAGCGTGTCAAACCTGTATAATTATTGGTGTCAAATATTAAACGTGTAGTTACTATTAATAGTCAGTTAAAAATGAATAATGAATAATAAAAAATTTGCAATGCATTTTATAATGTCATTTAATTGTTTTAGGGTCGTACTTTGATATTTTTTATGCATATTTGTATGCATTTTCTATACATTTTAAGGTCATCATCATCATCATCCAAGCCCTAAAGCGAAGATGTGTATTTAATTTACATATTTTAATATGATCGCAGTTTATTTATGGTAGAACCGAAAATGAAACGAATTTTCCAGCGTTTCATAAAAAAAAAACGAATAACGACTATAGTATTATAGCTGTGATTTCTTTTGATTAAGTGTGTGATTTTAAAGTTAGTCATACATATTTACCCTACAAACTTCGAATTCCAAAACATCTTACATCACCTGTTTTAAATCTAAACGTTAAATATCTATTTTATTTGTTTTCAAACATTAGAATTGAAGGTTTATTACAGTCAGAATAATAATTATTTTTAATATCTAACCGTGGAACGTGTCGAATTCATAATGGCGTTCTGTTATGCAAAATGTTTAATTTATAATTTTCCCGTGGTTATTGGTGTGCGGGTCTTAACGAATTATTCGACACGAAAAATGTCCAGCCCGATTATATAATATCTTAGTTTGCCATACCTTTTTTTGCGCAAACGTCGATGAGGTCCTTTGCCTTTTTCATCATCGTTTCGTTCGTCCCGTAATATTTCTGTGCAACCTTGGTAGCCTCTTCAACCGAAAACTTGCCCTTGTTAATCTTAACACAAATTAATTGCACGTTACCTACGTTGAATTGTTACCAAGACCTCGCGTTTATTCGTATACGCGAAGTATTGTTATTTAACAATATTTTACTGTTATAGGTACTTACCACGTTTACTTTTCTCATCAGACAACCCATCATACACTGTAACGGACAAAATTAATAATAATTACAACTAACCGTATTAAATTATTCGCCATGTTAAAATATAACAATATTGTATACGTTCAAACTACGTACTTTTTCGGCTTGTGTTTTTGGTATACTCATCGACCGGAACCCTTTGAGTGCGTCTGAAAATTAAAATTACCAAAACACGTTGGATGGGAATTTTATTATTATTATATTATTAAGATTTTTACCATAGTTTTTAAACGGTGAAAAACATTGAAAAGTATCGCTGTTAAAGGTAATTGATATATTTTCATCAGTGTCAAAAATCATAGTTACAATGATAAAATAATGGCAAAGGAAATTGGATAGTTATTTCTCGCTTGGATATGACAACGCAGGGGACAGTAATAACTTACATTTATTTTTAAAAGAAAGAAATTCTCAATACGCAAATGATTAATATTCTATGGCCGCAAGTAAGCAACTACAAGAGCTGGTTATTTGAGATAAAGTCGGTATAATATTTACAGGTTTGGAGAGCCCTATACCGTTTGAACAATTATAATATTATGTGGTCTTGTCAAGCCACAGATAGAGCAAAGTATTAGATTACAAATAAAATACGAACGCTTCATCAATATTTATAAAATTTAAGAATCCAGCATAAATGCTACGAAATAATATTCAATAGCTGGTTCTACAATACATATACACTGCAGAATCAGCAGTTCAAAAAGTAAGAATATTTCTTCAATAGTTTCAAGTGTTGTAATCAAGGGCTCCCGCAGAAATTAAAATTTGTTGGAAGGGAGGAAGTGGAGGACAAAGTCAAAAGTTTCTGATAATACAGCACATACCTACTATAATACAGCTACTGTAATTACTAATTTCCGGAAAAATTAATTGCATAATATTTATTTCTATGATTTATCGTTATGGATAAATATTACAAACATAAAATATAATAATATGTATTTTACGCATTGCACGGTATCAATTATTGTAAATTATTCGTTTACAAAATTCTACAAAAATGTCATACCTTTTAATCAATTATTTTACTTTTGCGAAATAAATGTGGCTAGTAAAGCGTGTACACTAAATATCAATTGCAGTTTGTAATACATACCGCGTGTGTAAACATTAAATACATTTTTGAAGTTAATTTAATATTTTATGCATATTTATTATTATTTAATTGCAAAATTTAAATAGATATCAAATAAACTAAACTAACGAACCTACTCCAAAAAATCTTCATTTTCACCGTCAACTCACCTGACATCGAAATGTTTAATTGAGATTAACTATATTATTATTTATTTGGGTCATATCACATAAAAATTAATAATAATTAATAATCGCACAAAATGATCCAACAAGCAAGCTCAAACCTTTTTCCCTAATAATGAATTCTGATTTTTGGAAATTTTAATCTAGTTTTTTAAATAGGTCTTGAAATCTCATTTTTCAATTACCTTTTTTGATTTTCTAAACAATTCAAGAAATTAGAGAATTCAAAAATTATTATTACGGTGGAACAAACTTGGTTTTTAAATGACAACCAACCTTTTTACTTTAAATAACTAATAATTTACTGAGAAAATGTTTTTATTTCGAAAACGTTGATGTGCCTAAATCAAAAATAGAACCAATAGTTCAGTTATTAAAGTGTATACAAGTATAGTCACTATAGATAATACTATACAAATTCTATACATCTGAAGTATGTTCTTACAGTATAATTGCTTAAAAATTCAAAAAATTAATTAATAAAGGCTGAAATTAGGGGTGAGCATGATTGAAGAATTATTTTGTAAGTGAGTTTTTCTTATGTAAATTCCGTCTGGTGGTGGATTGATTGGTGCATTATTACTAAAAACTGATATTTAATCGTAACAATGCTGATAAGAATATTATAATATAATTAACATTACCTCCGGACAATTTTGTCTCCGCTATGCAACTCTGGAATATAGTGGCGGACCGATCACTTGAGTTTTGTTGATTGTTTTCACCCTAAAACCGTACATAAGCTATTTGATCGCATTCACAATTTTATGACCCAATAGTACAATTTCTTAATTCATTAATTCTTTATCAATTTTTATTTATTTGCTATTCGTTGTTGTTGCATTCGTGTAGTGTGATTTACTGATTTACTACAGGATAGACGATTGATTCACCAGTTTTATTAAAGTGATATTGTAAATATTTTAAAAACCAGAACATGACATGATGTAGTTCAAAAACATAAGACACATATTTTAATACTCATAGTAATGTTTTAAGTTGATTTTTAGTCATCCTGGAAATAGAGAAGAAATTTACATAAAAAATGAAAAAAATACATTAAAAATCGTAAATAGAATGGTATGAATATCTGTGGCTTGGAAATCATGATTTCGTGCAAATTCGAATAAACGATGCAAATGCATTGAAATCCGAGCTCTGTAGTTATTATATTACTTTATACACTATTATGATTGTACCTACAAGTAGACTATAACGTTCACAGTCTAACGACCAGCGATAATGTGTCATTTATAAATCAACAATGCAATAGTAATAATAATATTATGTGGGTACATCACAGAAGCATTGTGTTCGAATGTATAGTTGTATAATATATTGTTGAACTTACGAAAACGACGGCGACGGACAAGCACAGACACGCCACTTTAAGAACGAACATTTTTGCGTTTAAGATCGAAGTGTATATAGGTACAATATAGGTAAGAGTTAACGATGTATTATTATTATAATGATAATATTTTACAGGAACGATTTGTCATAGACCGCAGTTGTGTAGAGTTTGACGACAGAATAATTCGTTTTACTCTAGTTCAGTGTTTATATACCTACTACTAAATGATAATGAAATAGTAATAATAAATAGGAAAAAGGGGAAAAAGGAGTAATAACAATTAAAATCTACGGAATTTCCACTTCCAAGCGGATATCGGCATTATGAACATACATACCTATATACACCCATATTATATTGTTTCCAAGAACAATAATTGTTTTAACGACAAAATAAAACGCCACGTCATCATCATTAACCAATTGAATCATAGTATTTTATTAAAACGTTAATAGTATAATATAATTATTATTATTATTATTCCGATGTTTTTTTTTTACAATTTGATTCGATACATAAACGTGTCAAGGTAATCGTCGCCGGATCAAGGAAACCGGAAAATATCATTTAAATCCCAAAGTGTGACAACCAAAAACTAATTGTTTATAATATATGTATATTTGTTAAATCAAACAATATACTTTATTGTATAATAAATAATATTTTTAGGTGTTAAAGTTATCATAACAGTAGAAATAATATGATTTTTTAAAATGAAAAAATAATATGCTGGTTCGCTTGACTCTCGTTTCGGCCCACTTGATTCACTCTTCAATATTCTGAACTAGAAACAGAGAAAACAATGCTATATAATATACCTAGTGACGTTAGTATTAGGGAAATTTCCAAGAAAAGTTTTGTATCGTAAACGAACGTGTTGTTATTAGGTTAAAATTTTTAAATTTCGAACGTTCCCGGAAATTTCCTTTCAGAAATGTCTGAAATTTGGCATTACTATTGGGTACTATAATAAGCACATGATATACTATTAATTTTAGACTTTTGCGCAACTTTATAATTTACAATAATATTATAGTATTGGGCAATTCGTATGACGCTTACGAGTCTCAAGTTGACTTGTCGAGATCCAACTGCTTGTTCAAACATGCCATCACAGTGTACGAGTAATTGCACGTCGCTATTACCTCCTTCGACACAAGTAAGGCTGCAATCAATAAAATATAAACATAATTATAAACATATTTACTAAAATGTCGCAGGCAGATGAACTTGAACAGTTATTACACGATATTATGACGTGCAGAAGAGTGTTATAGTAGAACGATATTGGTAGTGGTGAACAAAGTTTCCGGGACGTGTGTAGATTAAACGAGTAAAATGCGCGAAAAACAAAACCCTGTGTCGTTGTTTGCAACAGAGAATATTATGAAATAGTACTTATTCGTCCATTGCAAACAAAGCAGTTATAATATTATGGTATATTATTGTAATATGGTAGTTGGTAGCATATCATGGCTTATGGTTGTATCGTGTTACAGTGACTGAAGCTGTGCATTTATTAATATAATATCAAAATCAAGCTTGAGTCTGGAATTTGTTCGTTCGGGTTGACTTTCGACTTTTGGATTGAGTATAGTTACTTGTATATGATCACGAACAAGTTATAGGAGCAAAATGAACTCGAGTTAGAAAAAGTTAACATTAGCAGTTTGCAATCAATATAGTTATTACAATATTACTATTGAATTACTTAAATTATTACTATTATTACAATATTACTATTGAATTACTTAAATTATTACTATTATTACAATATTACTATTAAAGTTAAGGAAAAATATTGACTTAACTCTTTTAAAAATAAATGCGTTCATTCTTTTTAACGCTTGTTATACATAGTGATTGTGCAAGTTTCGAATGCATTAAATAATAACTAAGGGAATTAAAAATGCACCTTGACTATTCCTTTCTATTGCACACTAGCTGTAATGGTTTAGTTTAAGCAATAACATTACATTTGTGTTAATTTAAGGAATATTTATTTCTTTTTTTTTCATTAAATTAAAAACATTCATTAAGATAAAATGTCTCATTGTAGGTATACTGTGTGAGCAATGGAAAATAATTAACCTATACTTTTTTAACTGCAGTTATAGATAAGGAAACATAATGACCGAACGAGAACATGACGTTATTGAGAATTTAGTACGATCTTTTTATCCATAAGCACTTGTGAAGTTTGGCGAGAAAAGAAGTAGAAGAATAGTTTTCTTGATCGTTTAAATGTTCTTCCTGACCTTTGGTCACGCTCATTAAGTATTGTTATTTATTTTCGAAACGATCATCGATAAATCACACTAACACACAGACCTACATAATTTCGTTCAAACACTTTTCCGTCCACCACCGACTAAAATATTATTATTGTGCCACAATAGAAGTGATACATTAGAAATATTTGCATCACCTTCTTCATAACACTTGTTGTTTATAGCCTCAATCTTCTCCGTAGACCACTCCGACCAGTATTTCTTCAAACCCGCTTCCATGCCAGTTTTGTTGTACGAACCATCGTCGTTTAGCTAAAACAACATAATATATTACAACAAATCACATTTTAATTTTTAACGAGTCACAGAGTAAACGTATAAGAAAATGACTAAACGCATAAATTATTACCAGTCCTAGTTTGGTGATCATGCATTTCATCAGACACTGAAAACAAAAAAAAAAAAACAAATCAAACAGTTTAAGTAGTTGTTTTTTTTTTTAGACATTTTGACCCATATTCATGTGGAAGAAAAAATCCGACGTTATAGAACCGGAACACTTTTTTTGGAAGACCAGAGATCGAGATCGGAACCGAAGTTTTGAATTGGAATAATTTGGATTTTACACATTATCAATAACCAATTGGTATATTAGAAATAAGATATTTTGTTATATCTTACAATTAATTGTGACTATACTTAAGTTATACTTTCATTTTATTTTTTGTTATTAAAGATAACCTTCTGCACCGTGGCCATTACGATATAATTTTTATATCCCGGGTGATTTACCAAGCATATTCATCTCGTTTCTATTCTTCAATAAAGAGGTTATTCAAAATCTGATTTTTTGAATTTTTAAATATACTTAAAGACCATAATTTAAAATTCTCGAGATTTTTCGTACTAGGTACTTAAAGAGTGTCCCGTAGAGGTACAAAATTTCGTTTTTCAAATGAGAAACTTTTTTAATGTAAATTTTTTAGTGGATAATTTCTCGTTTGAAAAATAGAAATTTGTAGGTTACTCCATAATTTTAACAAAGACATTCAAGAATTTAAAAAAATGGCCTGAGCAAAACATTTAAAAATTCTAATAACCAGAATTTGAATCAATTAATTATTAATGGAAAGTATAGAAATGAGCATGCTTGAAGAATCACACTGTATAAAGTATTATTATAATAGTTTGGTTTTCACTTTTACTGCTAACCCAAATTTATATAATAATAACAAAATATGACAGACATTTATTATATTTATAATCATAAAACATGTTTAAATTAAATTTAAAAAAATAAATCTGTGTAATTATTACTAATTCGTAAAGATATTGAGTTAGAAATGGCTATAGGAATTTAACCTTAATTTTCTATTCTAACGAACCAAAATCTATAAATTCATTTAAGTCGCTGGATCTTATAAGTACAAACAGCCTCTCAATACAAATTACAATTATAAGCTATTAAATTTATTTAATTAATAACCACAGAATATAACTGTATTCGTTCTGTTCGGGACATAATATTATTTTGACAACAGTTTTATTTCACGAAATCAATTCATGCTTTATTGTCCTCGGGACACATTTAATAAAATATTGAAATCAATATCTACTTAAATCAATCATTTTTACGGACTTAATATTTTTATTTACCGGCCCTGAGTCATGTTATCTAATAGTGAATAGTATAGTAGTCAATTAACTGGGAATGGATATTCACAATAATTATTATTTACCTTTCCGGTTTCTGTAGTTGGTACTTTGTAGGATTTGACTACGACGAGGTCATCTGATGAATAAATAAGAAAAACATGGTTTAGATTAGTTTTCCAATCAAATAGGTACTTATACTGGTAAGTTTTTTTTTTTTGTAAAATTCCAACAGTAATATCACGACGATTAATGTTTTTCGCCGAACGCATAATACCTACTGTCAATAATTATACAATATCGATATTATGGTTCTACGAAACTTAGTGAGCCATTCGTTCTATCCTAATATAGTTGATAGCCATTAATAATATTGTTGTTTTTAATATTCGTACCCGAGACAATATAACACAGTGTAGGCTTAATATGTAGTTATATTATGTACGTAAATAACTATAACCTAAAACTAACCTAAAACTACTAACGCATCGTAAGGAACCCTCGATTTTCTTTCAATACATTTTATAAAATAATAGAAAAAGCTTATCCGAAAAATATTATATTGTCATTATTTGATATTTCATTATAGACAAATTTGATGTTGAGCAACTTTACAGAAAAGCCGGTAGGTCCACACGACAATAGTAAAACGCGATGGTTTAAATCGTATGGCAGCTAATATTATGATAGTTAAAACGGACTGTCGCGATATCACATAGTCATATTATGTGAGTACCAGCAATATTAAAAATATCGTTTGCCAACTTTAGGTATATTATTTATTAATATTGTGTCCTTACAGCCTGTATGGACTAGACTTGTTGAATAAACTCAACAAATCATATGGTTAAGTACTTTGTGAAACTATGAGTATATGGAGGCTTATAAATGAGAAATGGACGATTTTTGAGTAAGCAGTAGTATGCAGTACTCTGTTTTTTATAAGTTAAGATACTTTTACTCTCCTATTTTACTGTCTAATTGTATAAATATGTAATTTTAGACAATCGCATAGCCCCCCCCCCCCTTTGTACAGCATGCACCCCTGACAACATACCGATGTTGAGGGACGCATTACTGATCAACCAATGTGGTCGACAACAAGCGTTCACCTCAACCTTATTAACATACTTGTGCAGTTGTATTGTGTTATGAACTACGACCAGATGTCCATCGTTATATTATGGCTGACGTCATAATGAAAAAAGAAAAAGAATGTGATTGACTAATTAAATCGGCAAACGAAATTGTTTCAACTAAAAAAAATAACCAAGTACCTATACCGCTTATTCAACAAGTATCCGTTTTCTCTGGACTATACTCTCTGTCTATATAATATAAGCTACACTACATAAACATAGGTGTAACCGGGCCTTCCAATTTGGAGGGATTGAGAGTCTAGCTTAAAATTATTTACAAATGGTTTTTTTTAAGTCTTTGTAAAAACCTTAAAACGCCTATTTTGTACGCATAAGTTTTGTTGTTTTCTACTGATCCCAATTCACCGATACAAAAAAAATATGTATATTACCGAGAAATAAAAAATTATGATAAGGATATTTTTTTAGAATAGGTTTGACATAATACTATTAAATAAATCATACACCACAATAGGATTATCCTCAAACGTTTCAGGTAGGTACATAATGTTTGATAACTCAAAAATATCTATAGGTTTAAATATTGATTTTTATACACATATATTTTCATAAAAGTCATCTACTTAAGAATTTACAGTAAAAATAGTTGGTTCCCCTAAAAAATAAATTCGTAGTTGTCGTCACAATGAAACAGAATATTTTTAAAAATTATCTTTAATTACTATAGGTAATTAAATTGCAGAGTACCATAATTCGTTCAAAATTTGAATAAACGCACCATTCAATGAAAACTTAAGGTTTAAAGGTGAGCATGATTGGTACATTTCCCAGTGTAGAACATTGATCTAAACCAATTGATTTTGTAGCTACTTAAATATTTTACAATAATATTGTATTATGCTTCGGTAAAAGAGACAAAAAGAAAAAGAAATTGTCCATCATCGTTTATAATTTGATCCAGTAGAACAAAACAACAATCGTACGGAGTAATTAAAAAGTTGTAACTAAATATATATATATATATAAATTATAAGCAATAAATGTGGAAATTGAATACAATTCGTCGTGGTTAACTTATTCCGGCCCAGTGCTGATGAAATCTAGTGAAATTATTGCAGTTGAAAATACTACATTATGTCATAAAAAACGTGCACAAATAAAAGTTCAATAATTGAATGAACCGAATTTAATTAAGCGTAATTTCTAATTACCAACACCTATTCGTGGTCGTCCAGTATCAAAACAATATTAGAACAGACGTTAATAAATATTATGCAAACTATTTTAAAAGTCATTACCCTGCAGGTACGCTAAATGATGAAACAACAATTAATACCATTATTAATATTAATACTAATTTTGTGCCCTAATCATTGAAATGTTATAAGTACATTCGATCGCGATGAAAAGCAAAACTTATTTTTCAAAACAAGTAGGTAATAACTGATGAGCTTGAAAGCGTAGTGTAAAGTGTTTAAAGGACGTCGCACCCAAGCTTGTGCCCTTAATTTTATAGTAACGAAAAACATGGACGGTTTTGTCATTCATTTGAATCCATTTTATTCTTATTATATTTTGTAATATTAGAGTAAATTGATTTATCAAATTTAAAGGTGATGCTATTATCAAGGGCCCCCGTGTAGGGTTTTTATGAGCATTTTAAAATTTAAAATTACTTATAACTTGCCATCAGTAATATTATTATATAGCATATTATAGTATACGTTGATAATTGGAACGCTGATATTTAAGATTAAGATTATTTTTTATTTTATTCAACCAGTCACAATGATTTCTAAGTACGACTCAAATCTGATTCATTGTACAATTCATACATGTAACATTATAATATTTTATTCTTTATACTTATTTGTTGTTTTTCGTAGTTAATAATATGACACAAATTTTTTTATGAAAAATATTTTGCTCCACCACCTCCGCCGTATTAATGCCTATGGAATATAAAAAAAATGAATGAATCTAATCAGGAAAAAAATAATATTAACAGCCAATAACAGTATAACACATACCATTGTAAATAGGTTTAGAAAACCATTAATTTGTATACTTTTAAGACGCGTTTAAAATTATATGGTTTTTTTTTTCAAGAATGCTAATATAAATTTTAATTTATTTCTGGTTGATAAAGATTAAAGTTTTTATTGTTATATGCAATGCAAAAACGTGAATTTTCTGTACAAAAAAGACTGACCTATAAGCGCGGAAAAGCTAAATATTATTTTAAATTTATTGTATTCATTGTATAATAGTAATGTTATAATATAGTAGTAACTCGCCACGGTACGAGTGTATTGAGCGAATTTTGAACAGCACGAGAGTGATTTGCAGATTGATAACTGAAAACTAAGTTATATTTTAATCGAATATACCTAAATGAGATTTAATTAATAATGCACCTAAGTATGTTATATTATTATTGACACACATGTAGGATTGACGCCACACGCTCAGTCATGGGTGCCCTCTATTTTAATTATTATTAATCGTTTTATCGTATTTCGTAAGAACGAAAAATAGTGTATGCTGTGTTATCAGAGATTTTTACCCCCCCCCCCCCCCCCTCCTGATTTATATTTCTGCAGGTGGCCTTGCTCATAGTGATCGACGTTTATACTTTATACATCTACAGATAACGAATGGTAGTATTCGATTTATCGAATCGTTGACGAGAACATTTATTATTATTGTAAAATATCGGATCGTATAACAGACGAACCGACGATTATAATATAATGATTGTATTTTTCCTATGTTTTGTTCGGATAACGCGTGAGCGTCGAACAAGACTTACCTCAATCGTAATCATTACAGGGTCAGGATGTTTATAGCTTTCTCGTTTTATTTTTTTATTTTAGTTGTGCCCATCGCAGTTCAAATCATGAACACTTTTGTCGTATGACGTATAGGATCAGATATATTAGGTTTTATTTTGCATATTTTTTTTTTTTTTTGTCATTTTTGGCCATATGTTAATTTTTTTTTTTATGACATTTTATAATTTTACGACTTTTTTGTAGGTAATTTTTATAAAAATAGTATAGCTACGTAGTAAGTCAAATTGTATATATAATTGACGTAAAATGTCATATTTAATTGTTTTGAAGGCATACTTTGATATTTTTTGGAAATATTTTAATACATTTTTTAGAGTTGCTTAGGGCTGGGATATTTATGTAGTGTCAATATTTTATTCTGTTATAAAGTTTAGCTACGATAGTTGAAAATGTATTTTTGGTGATGCTGATTATTTTATGGATACCTATATTTTTGTTTTCCTTTTTTTGAGTTATTCAACATTTAATGTTATTTTTCGATGTTTTTTAAAATTTTTGGAACATTCATTACAATTTATTTAAATGCGCAATTTGTAGCAAAAATAAATTGTCTAAAAAATGCATTGTCTTAATAAAATGTAACATATTAGAGGTTTCTGCAGACTGCAGTCTATAGTGTCAAACGCATAGTAACTAGTAGGTATGATGCATGCATTCATTATTACACACTGACCACTGTTACCATACCTGAAGAATAGTTAGAGAAGTAATATTAGAAGTATTTATATACTTTTATAATTAGTTATTAGTTATTACTATACATATCATACCATTATTATAGCAGGGGCGTACCTAGGAATTTTTCAAAGGGGCGTTTCAAATTTTTTGAACATGTAAAAATATTACACAATCAATGGTTAACACCTTATGCATTTTAAATTCTGTCAATCCATGGGGGTCCAGACCCCCTTGGGTACGCTCCTGTATTATACTATCTTTATAATTTTGAATTGTCTTCTGAAAAAAAATATCACCACTTGTATGTTACGTTACCATTAGGTATATAATTTTTTTTAATGTTAGAAATACATTTTTGAACGTATTTTTTATGTTTTTAAGACATTTTTTGCTATTTTAAGGGCATTTCAATCTCAGCCCAGCCTAATAATATCATCATTATAATCGTTAATAGAAATCGTTAAATTATTGTTCCCGAAAAAAATATTTTAATCTACGTGACTGCC